TGGTCTTGAAGTCCTGACATCATGTGATCTGCCCACATGTGCTGAGGTTACAGGCTTGAGCCACCACACCCAGCTGGCATTTGCCTTTGAAAATCCTCAAGGAGGACTTCCTGCCTTATTCTTGTGCCCTGGAGAAAGGCAGCCTGGCCCTTGGCAAGGAGCTGGGTTCCAGGTCCAGTGAATCCCGCCACAGTCCCTGAAGGTTGGCATTGTTGCTCTCCCTGTGTTGTGGGGAGACACTGAGGTCAGAGAAGTTAAGCCGCCTGCCCAAGGTTGCACAGCCTTGAAGTGGCAGAGCCAGGAGCTGAATCCAGGCCTGTTGCCTCCAGAACCTGGGCTTTCTCCAGACGCCTGCGCTCATCGCTCCTGTTTCTGGCCAGGCCCAAGGCTTCCTCACAGTGTGGGAGAGATTTCTCTGGAGCTGCAGGGAAGTGAGGGATGGGGGGAGTGTACCGCCCCAAAACACAGTCTCCGGTATAGCGGCATAGCAGGGTGGGCAGACTGAGCAGGGTTGCATGGTGCTGCCCAGATGAGATGTCTGTGCTTGCAGCTGTGTGGGGGTGGGGAGGCACAGGGAGGGGCTGAAGGCTCAGAACAAACAGCCAAGCCCTGGGGCGGGGCCCTCCCAGACACCTGTGGCAACCCTGCCTCTGGTGGCCCTGCTGCTCTCTTGCTCGACCCCTCCTCCCCCAAGGTCCTCACCCGGGTGCCCTCTCCCCTCTCCCTGCACCATCCCGTCCACATTCACCAGGCTCAAGAGGCTCCTATCCAGAAATCTCCCCAGGAGCCAAACTCTTCCTGCACCTGCAGCCTTCCCTCCTGGCAGGGCAGAACAGGCCAGGGAGTTCATGTCCTCACCTGCCCCTTCTCACCCTCTGCCCCAACTCTGCTCTCCCCAAGCCCCAGGGGAGCTCCTTGCAGCCACCTCCAGGCCCCGCTCTCCACCAGGTGGGCGAATGGAGAATCCTCCTAAGTTCTCTAAAAGGTTGGGATCCAATCCATCCCCTGCACAGAAAACACCTGGGGCTCCTTGAAATGCTTCCTCCCTGCGCCCCAGGGCCAGTCCCAGCTCCACCTGCCCCAGGTCCCTGGGACCTGGAGAATGACCGGAAAAGCAGCGGGAGCAGGTCCTGGGCCCTCTAGACACCTTGGTATTGGAGGATTTCTCCCGGCAAAACCTAGTTCCTCCAAGTCAAAGTCCTATGGTCACCGAAAGTCACACATGAGTCCCAGTTCTTCACATCTCTAACCCTGTGTAACAGACGAAACTTCAAACTCTGACACTGAAGTGATTCTCCGTGTCACCCGGGTCCCGTGTGAGGGGGAGGGGCGAGGTCCCTCTTCTCTTTCCCGCCCAGACCCCCTCCTTGTTTGTCCCCACTGATCAAGCTGGTGGAGGCAGAAAAGACCTGCCGTGTCAGGTGCGTGGGAGGCTGGCCCGGGCTCTGGGTGCTTGTAGAGCTGGCCTCGTGTCCCGTGGGGCACGTTCATGGCCTGTTCAGGACACCCACGGACGTGCTACAAACAAATGACAGCTGAAAAGCATTTGTGGACTTGGAAATGGCCATGAAACCTATCTTCAGCACCGAGCCATCATGGGGAACCGCTTCTAGTCGGCAGCCAACTAGGGCCTGGACCTCTAGGGCCTGCACCCCTGAAGGGGCCTCTGGAGATGGGGTGGGAGCTGGGCAGTTGCAGGGGACCAGCTCAGGGGTACTGATGCCCAGTGAAAGGAAGGTGCAGGGGAGGCAGTGAGCTACATCCAGAGGCCAGAACCTGGAGGCCTTGGCAGCACCTGCAGACGTCCTCTCCTCTCCCTGGGTTTTTTGGCCTGTTGTCTCCAGACTGTCTGTTGTTATTGATGGAGCTGGTCAGAGACTGCTTCCTCTCTTCACTTTTTAGAGACAGCAGTTTCATCAGAGGTCTGAGGTTCTTGCTCCGAAACCTCTCCCCGCTGTGGCAGACCTGAGCCAGAGCCAAGCGTTTTCATGATCCTAACACTCTGACCTTAAAATAACAAATCCCAAAAGAATACAGAACAATGGCCATCCATTTTTACAGATTTCCCTGGAATTAAAAAGAGCGGCTTAATTGTGATAGCAGAGCTCATCATTTTCTAGAAGGATACTTCAGATGGGGAGAATTTTTAAAGACAATTGGACTGAAGTCTTCCTGCCCAGGAGAAACAGGGAGGTTTCATGGTGCTGACTGTGTATCTGTCCTCCACCTGGAGGGGCCTCTTAGCTACACCATAAGTAGGAGCAGGAGGCCCTGGTGAGGAGATGGAGGTCACAGGTCAAGGGGCCCACAGGGCAGGGGCACAGAGGGGGAAGTGGCCTGTGAGTGTTGTGTGGGGCTGCAGGGTGGGGTCAGTGGTGATGTCATTTGTGGTTCACCCCACTCCTCTTGTCTCGTACAATTTTTTTTTTTTGAGACAGGATTTTGCTTTTGTCGCCCAGGCTGGAGTGCAATGGCACAATCTTGGCTCACTGCAACCTGCGCCTCTCAGGTTCAAACGTTCTCCTGCCTCAGCCTCCCAAGTAGCTGGAATTACAGGCTCCCACCACCATGCCTGGCTAATTTTTGTGTTTTTAGTAGAGATGGGGTTTCACCATGTTTGGCCAGGCTGGTCTTGAACTCCTGACCTCAGGTGATCAGCCCCCCTGGGCCTCCCAAAGTGCTGGGATTACAGGCAGGAAACACTCTGCCCAGCCTAGGGGTGTCTCTTTAGTGGCTCAATAAGAAGTTCAAAATATCAGCGTGGCCAAAGTTTTGAGGGATTAACTGAAGCACAGGGCCGACTCCGTGTCTATCCCGCATCTTCCAGAAGGCTGGCGTCCCTTTGGGACCCCCTTTCCAGAGCTCTGACTCAGAGCTGAACTGAAGAGACCTGGGAAGAGTCAGCCTGGCCTCACTCTAGCCCCACACCACAGGCAGCGCCTGTGCCTCACTTTCCCCAACAAAATAAATCTTGCGGCTCCTCTGAGCATCTCAAACACACTATCTTCTCCCAAGTAACAAGCCGGCCTGCATGTTCTTGGCTGCTGGCTGCCGACCTCAATTTAGAACTGTCTGCTGCTCAGCTGCTAGAGAAGGCAGGGCCTGGAGTGCCTAGGAGCGCTGAAGCTGAGGGGCCTGAGCAGCTGAAGTCTGGGGCAGGGGGTGGCTGCTGCCCCCAGCCCAGGATCCAAACAGCATTTCAGAGGCCTGCAGCAGGGGTTAGAGGCCCCCCAGGGAGGGCTGCTGCTTTGCGAATTTTCAAACTGTTTTCTGAAGTGCCTCTGATGATTGGGGGGGAGGGGTGGCTCCTGCAAAACTGGCCTTGTCACGGTCGGTCCGTTGACATCACGATCACAGCCAAAATGGCCCCACGTGGAGCACCTCTGCGTTGTTGGAAAAACCACTCTCAGGATGTCGCCTGTTATACTAGATAAAAACCTAACTGGCTAGGCGTGGTGGCTCATGTCTGTAATCCCAGCACTTTGGGAAGCTGAGGCAAGTGGATCACCTGAGGTCGGGAGTTCCAGACCAGCCTGACCAACATGGAGAAACCCCATCTCTACTAAAAATACAAAATTAGCCATGTGTGATGGTGCATGCCTGTCATCCCAGCTACTTGGGAGGGGAGGTTGCAGTGAGCCGAAGGGAGCTGAGATCACACCACTGCACTCCAGCCTGGGCAACAAGAGCGAAACTCTGTCTCAAAAAAAAACAAAAACAGGCCGGGCGCGGTGGCTCAAGCCTGTAATCCCAGCACTTTGGGAGGCCGAGGCGGGTGGATCACGAGGTCAAGAGATCAAGACCATCCTGGTCAACATGGTGAAACCCCGTCTCTACTAAAAAAAAAAAAATACAAAAAATTAGCTGGGCATGGTGGCGCGTGCCTGTAATCCCAGCTACTCAGGAGGCTGAGGCAGGAGAATTGCCTGAACCCGGGAGACGGAGGTTGCGGTGAGCCGAGATCGCGCCATTGCACTCCAGCCTGGGTTACAA